TCCTGAAATCCTATTGGCCGGCCTGTTGCCATGTGCTCGAGAGTCAGCAGAGATGCTGCTAACAAATCAAGGAAATGTTCTAATATTAGACTGTATGTATCCAGGCAGCGGGAGCCCCTGACCTCTCAACTCCGCCAGCGTTACGTTCCACTTCACAGATCAGCATAATGAAAGAAGTGGTGTGGAAGTAACTGGTTAAAAAAATGTTGCAGCAATGTAGACAAAACAGTAGACACAGCCCCCCCCACCCCCCACCCCCCCCATGATATCCCAGTCGGTATAAACAGGCAGAGAAGTAAAAGACAGATTTTTACCTACTGTTTTAGTCTATTATGAAATGGATACATGTTGTAATTTTAATGTTTTAGTTCTCTGGAGAATTTGTTGAACATATGGTTGTCATACATTTTTTGTTGTTCAGGTGAAATTTAGCTATTAAAAAAAGCAACCTATTTCTTGCATTCTTGTACTTCTGCTGTAATAAACTAGGTCTGTGCATTAAAATTTTAACAAATTGTGACAGTGAGCAATGGAAGCCCTGCATTTGCTATATATTTTATGAATAATATTCTGTCTTATATCTTACAGTATTATCAACTTTATAATAATTAAGCTGCATTGCTACTCTCTGCATTGCTGATTTTTAAGAAACTGATTTTACATGTATTATTCACACACAGTACACATGAATAAGCAAAAAATTAAAAATCCAACATGTATAGCCCCCAACATTAAAGTAAATGAATACAGTCTTGCATAAATGTAAACAAACAGTCTAAATAAAACCTACACCTGCGATCTACACATTATAAAACTATAACTCAGATTCAGATGTATCTGTTATCTGTTGTCCAATTGCAGAAAAAAAAAATTTCAAGTTCAACTCTGAAACTGATATCACAAAAAATGTATTTAATCTATCCCTCATTCTAATCAAAACTGAAATTGCATCTTAAAACTGTGAGGATAGTGGTCTGAAACATGATGTAGAGAACAGGAGAGGCTGAATGAATTATGAATGAATTTATTTCATATTTAACCTTGCTAAGCTCACAATATTCACAAATCCTTTCGTCCTTATCCATTCCACTGTATTGTCTGGGTTTAGTATATAGTTTCCATCTACCTTGTGCACAGAGTAATCTCTTACTGTTAGGCAGCTTGTACTTGACATTTTTTCTACATTTACAACAGATTGTGTCTTTGGTAATCTTATAATTACTCATTTTGTGTGCAGATGATTTGCTTACATTATCTCACAGCACTGCTGGTCTCCACCAGCTATTGAGTAAATGCTTCTAACAGATTGCTTCATTTTAATGACACGAAAATTAAATGTAAAGAAATTAGAAATATGGTGCTGTATGTAAATAAACATTGTATTCAACTGATAAGAAGAGTTTCCCGGCTGTGTACTGCCCTATACAGACTTAAACTTACAATTTCTTAACAATAAGGCCATGATTTTAATATGAGTGCCTGGAGTTTATAGTGCTAGATATATATTTGTCAGAATAAATTAACTAAATTAGTGTGAGGCAGGGATAATGAACCTTATGCATAAATGTGCAGATCGAATAATCGTAGAAAAATTTGGGTTGTTTCCTTGTAGCCTTTAGTGAGGAACTGCATGGCTTTGGCTGTACATAGTGGTGTACGTAGAAGTCCCGCCCAGTCCATGTCCTCTCCAAGCTCGTTCAGTATAGTACTATAAGCTTTCTCAGTGCAGGACAGCTTGTTTGAATCTGCAGCCTCCTTCGAGTCCTTCTCTTCGCTGCACAAATCATTATGTTTACAATTGATGCATTTTCAGGTATTCGGCAGCTACACCATCCATCTCTGAAGCATGGTGATACTCCATTCTGGCTTGTAGCTTTTTCGGTGAAAGACATTGCAAGATACAATGAAACGGGCCCAGTGGTACACTGTTGGCTAAGTGGTGTCAGAGAGGACTTCGTCTTGATTTATAAAGCTTATGGGGCCCTGAGGCTACAGCATCACAGGAGCCTTAAGACATCCGTGCAGGACACAATTATACATGGATAATTTCCAAATTTTGAGCTCTTGAGTTGGCTTAAACTGTCCACACAGACAAGGTATCTAATCACCACACAAATCAATTTCTCTTGAAACATTTTACTGATCCTGTGATCTGTGTTTAAATACCTAGAAGTCGCAAGGTTAGGTTTTAGGTCACAGGCAGCTAGTCTTGAGTGTGTGGAACAATTACTACTTGCATGCAAGCCTTAACATGCTTCCGTAGCCTGGATTGGGCAGTGAAAAGAAGTTGAATGAGATTCAGGAGCCTGAAAAATACAGCCCTGGACTGTCACATTTAGCACTGTATAAAAGTGGGAGCCACTTATAGAAGTCTGAAGTTCTTGGACCATCTGTACATTTTTTCTTATTATATCCAAGGAAAAAAAGCTAGGATGATAAATTGGCCGGGCTGATATATATCACGTCTGGGTTAGCCTCTATTCCAGTAGCTTAAGTAACTTGATGCAATCTCTCATTAAGCATTTCTTATATCGATCAATTGAAACCCTTGTAATTTTAACAAAGTTAAATAACATTTACTTTGTGAGCGCAGAAAAAAAAACTACAACTCACAGAAAGAAATTACAAGCACAGCAGCACAGGTACATAAGTCATCATAACTTGGTGTCTTCCATATCCATAAAATTCACCAATGCTCGCCTCTGAAATCATTTCTTTACCTTTTCTAGTTGTAATTCTGAATGTAATCTTTGGAGTCTAACAACTTCTACAGCGTTTACTTCACTTTGTCCTGCTTGCTCATGGATTCACCTCCTCTGTTGAGCTGTGAAGTTCAGCCTGTGAAGATGTAGGGCTTATGGGAAATGGTGTTAGTTAAAAGCCACTAAAAGCATAAATATGAATAAATAACGATACATCCTTTTCTAAACTTGTTCATGATTGTCACTTCACAGTAAGAAGGTCTTGGGTTTAAAACTGACATTCCTGGTTGAATTATAGGTTTGAATACAAGTGTGTTTGTCAATACACAAACTGCTTCAACCTTGGATTGATGTTTTTGTCAGACCAGTTAAGATAAATGCAGATGAAATTTGTTCTTATCCTGACAATTACATTATTACTTGAGAGGTGTGCTCAACTAGACACATTAGTCTTAGCAGTTAGCATTATGCACAGTAACACACTTAACAAGGGAAACTTTGATGAGCAGCAAATGGAACATAGATCTTCTGCCTCTCGACATAATTTACTGAGCTGACTGAGCTTATGCTCAGTCATAAGCTCAGTAACTGAGCTCCTTGTTGTGTATCGTCTTTGTGTTGTGAGCGAAAACATAGTCAATTTTGCACACTGATTTTCCACAGATCTGCATGGATTGTGTGAAGCATGTCCTGTGTGTTTAAGTTTTACTTCACGTCCAAGAATTCAAAACTGATCAGAAACCAGATATCTACTTGGCCACGCTTAAAAAACACATTAAAAACACTTTAAAAAAAAAAAAAAAAAAAGCAAGCACAGATTCATAAAGCTCTGTTGTAATAACTACAGATAGATAGCCCCAAGGACTTAACATAGTTAAATAAACCTACAAATTATGTTAATGTGCAGCTTATTTGCTAGAGTACTTTATATTCATTGGCAACATTTAGTTGCAGGGAGTAGTATGATATTTTGAGGTGCAACTCAGTGGATGGACATACAGAGCATTGACTTTGCCTCTAAATCTGGGTGTCATACTTGAGCATTTTACCCTGCTGATCCATCCTAAAGCAAGGTATCCATCCACCCACATCTTATATTACTCCTACACGAACCCAGCACAATAGTCAGGGTCCTAACCAGAATTATTAATGTTAAATGCACTTTGGCTTTATTGTTTCTATTCGTCTTCTTCTATACTTTACTCTATACCTCTGTGTTTCATTATTGAGTCATTATTGCGATGTATTTTTGGAAATATATCGCCTAATGTCACAATTACATTTATCATCCTTTGTGTCTCTACATAGCCTCCTACAAGTTTAGTTAAACTTTACCAACATTTCATTTAAGGACAGTCAATTTCACAGTCAAATGTCCTGCCTGCCTGCACAGAGAGCAGCTGTGCATACCACTTGAATCAGGTTGTGGGTTGCCAGGTTGTGGTAACAGATGGGTCGAATTTGTGTATATGTACTACTTTCACTCATTCTGCAATCCTTTTCGTTACCTGTGGGACAAAATGCCTCATAAAGAGTTTAAATAAGACAAAAAATAATTCATAAAATAATTAATTGGAATTGATATCCAGTGCTATTATCTGTATTCCTTTGTGATTTATTACATTCAGCTTTTCTGCAATATTTTGTTTTAATAACACACAAAAAACAAATCCATCCATATACAGTATTGAGTTAAATAGCAGTGCTGTACTTTTTGGTGTTAAATGTGAGTGTGTACACAACCTCACCAAGCTAAGCTGACTGTCACCAGTTTGCCTAATGACTCATAAATTGAATAATGTAAATGTACTAAATCCACAAGAACTATTTTTTATCACAAAGCTTGACTTAAAGTGAATAAAAACCAACATTATGTACTGTGGTGCCTTGTACATGAAACAATTTGATCATTATATTTATCAAAACAGGTTCACAGGCTGTATTTTCACATTTCAAAATGAACAAAATGTGGCTTGGCATATATATTTAAATTAATGTTTCTGATCTCATCGTTTTGAAGTCATCTGTGAAGTGAAATCAGAGCATTGTATGTCTAGGTATTTAAAGTAAAATCACAGGATCAGTTGATGGTTGCTTCATGGCATTTGAGGCATAGAATTTGAAACTGATTTCTCTGCATGGGTGTCTTGAGGCTCCTGTGATGCTGCAGCCTCAGGGCTCCACATCAAGCTTCAAAACCAAGGCGATGTACTTTCTGACACCACTTCCAGTGTACCAGTGGGCCTGTGTCATTGTTTGCTGCAGTGTCATTCACTGAAACTAGAGCTAAGAGCCAGAATGGAGTATCACCATGCTTCAGATATGAATGGAGTAGTGTCAGAATACCTGAACATGCACATTGAGTCTAAACATAATGGTTCCAGCAGAGAAGTGAAGGACTCGAAGGAGGCTGCAGATGCAAACAAGCTGACTCTCATTGAGAAAGCTTATAGCACTATGCTGAGTGAGCTTGGAGAGGACGTGGACCGGGAGGGACTTCTATGTACACCACTACGTGCAGCCAAAGCAATGCAGTTTCTCACTAAAGGCTACAAGGAAACAACCCAAGGTGAGGATAGATTTTTATTTATCTCACCATTTTAAGAAAAAAAAAAAAAAAGTAGTGCTAAACTTAATTGTTTTGATATATTAATACTTTATTTTAGCAAAAATTAGTTGCAATTGTTTGAATAACTGAAAAACTGTTCCATAGAAACACTATATGTTGAAGGTGTGTTGTCCTGTCCTCATAAATATATTGTGCTTAATGCGAGGTGTTAAATGAAGGACACATTGTCAATCATTCTGTCTCTTGATTTGCTCTAGTTTTAATGCAAAATGTTGTCAAACTCACATTAAATCTCCCCACAGATATCATGAATGACGCAATCTTTGATGAAAACCATGATGAGATGGTGATTGTCAAAGACATCGATTTGTTTTCTCTCTGTGAACATCACCTGGTGCCCTTCTTTGGCAAGGTAATTTAATAACAAAGTTATTTAACAATGATGATATTCATGTATAATCATATATCTATATTTTTTGCAAATACTATTGTACTGCATAACACGGTGGCTGTAAATCAGCAAATTTTGTATGACGATAATAATTTTAGCAAGCCTGAATATAAGCAATGCTGTGTTAAATGTTTCAGGCTCACATAGCATATCTCCCAAACAAGAAAGTGGTTGGTCTCAGCAAACTCGCAAGGTAGATGATGACAATACACACACACACACACACACACACACACACACACACACACACACACACACACACACACAAACATAGGCATCTGTGTAATTCTCTTTCTGTTATCTTTCAGAATTGTTGAGATCTACAGCAGGAGGCTTCAAGGTAAAAAAATAACCAGTGATTACATCTATTTCTTCTCTTCTGTCTGTTTTTTTTAATGTTCATGTGTGATATATAACATGAAATTTTCTCCACAGTTCAGGAGCGTCTAACCAAACAGATTGCTTCAGCTATCACTGAAGCGTTGGAGCCTGCTGGAGTGGCTGTGGTGATTGAGGCTGTGTGAGTTTTCTTTTTTTTTTTTTTTTTTACACTGTATCATGGTTACTTTGATGCTATACTAGTAATAGTAAACAAGTAAATATTTTTTTTGATCACCTAGATTTATTAATGTCATAGCTCCAAGTGATGATATAATAATTATTAAATAAAGTTGGTGTGAATCGTAAATGTGCTTCGGAGTTTTGCAAATATTTAAACTCTGTCCTTTGTGCGTTTCAGTCATATGTGCATGGTGATGAGAGGTGTGCAGAAGATGAATGCCAGTACTGTTACAAGCGTCATGCTGGGAGGATTTCATGACAATCCCAAGACTAGAAGGGAATTTCTTGCCCTTGCATTGAAGAAGTAAAGTTTTTGGGGGATGTGTTTTACGTGAACTAATATCTTTAGTGCTTATGTTTAGCCTTGTGGGGCTGTTGAAATATCAGATATCAGGAATGTATTACCAAAAACTGTGAAAAAAAAAAAAAGTGAAATGAATAAGTGTTGATATTCATTTAATTTACTGAATGCAAGATTGTTCATAATGTATACATGTATAGATGTTATGAAAATAAACATCAAACAAGTCTTTTTCTGTCTGTGTATTACTTCTTTATTTGAAAAAAACTGATGGTAACTAAGGCTCAAAAGGGGTAGGAGGCTGCAACATAATGTAAGAAGGACACCCGACAAGAATAGCACTTTACCCAAGCTTTGTTGAAATAACCCCGAAAATATTCAAGGTTTACAAACCTAAAAACCAAGGGAAACAAAAAGGACTGGAGACTCCGGGCAAACTAAACAAAAGAAAAGAAGACGCTGGGCGAACCACGCAGTGGGCCGTCGCTCTCAACTACCTAAACCAAACTTAATCTAAAAGAAAAGACGAATAACATGACTACCGGTAATCTCCAGCCCAAATTAACATAATTAACTAAAATAACTAAAACCCCACCGCACCTAAATGTGAGTGGAGGAGCGAACCCTGCCTGGAGAAGGAAGCGAGGACAAAGAATCCTCACCGCAGGTACAGCTGTCTGTGTGTGTGTCTCCTCCCTGTCTCTGTACTCTCTGCCCCTCTTATCCCCTCCCTCTCTCCCTGAGTGCTGATTGCACCCAGGTGTGCACCAGGCAGAGGGAGGAGGGAGACGAGTAGCAGTGAGGGAGGACAGGTCACCACACAACCAGGGCACACGTAACGGTATTACTTATGTTTACTTGGTTATATATCATACTATATGAAAATATGCACTTTATTTCCTTATTTGTGATGCTATTGTGATCCTTTCCACAACATTGTTAGAATTTGTAAGGAGACCGTTTGCATTGGTTATAGTATGAGGCAATTAGTCAAAATGTAGTTCAGAAAATGTTCAAAAATATTTATATGTACATGTTATAATCAAGGACCTTTTTAAAGGTTCAGTATCAGCTGCATGAAGCCTGATCAATTTCTGATCCTTTTGTCTTTGATCTGCTTCAGCTACATCTTTGAGGTGAACCACCAATAATTCAGCATGCCGGGTAGATGGCTAAATTATCACTTGTGAGTGGCAATAAACACAACTTTCTCCGCTAGTGTTTCGGAGTTTCACCACTGCTCATTTTAGAAAGGTCACCACCAGGAAATGTCATTTGTTTAGATCGTTTATCAAATGGATAATGAATTTTTTTGTTTTTGGCTACTAGTGATAGTCTTAGTAACATGGCTTCCACTTAATACTGATCTAGAAGAAATGATGTCAATGATCAGTTTTGATCCCTCTCAAGTCCTGGAGCTCTCTCCATACTTGGACTATCCATAGGGACTACCTGACAAAGCTTGGTGGACCAGTGGACAGTAAATTTGGTTCTGGGAGATAAGTCCATGGCTGAATTTCTGTCCCAGTCTAACCATGGCTTTCTCCATTGAATAAATAACTGTCCAAGGTTCACTCTTGTTTTACCTCAGTTTCTGTCACTCTCCCTCTTCGCTTTCTTTGCTGTTTTGGTTTTGCATTGTGAGAGCAAGGCTTATAGGGAACCAATGTAAATACCGTTTGTGTCATTATTTTACTAAGTTAAAACAAAAAAGTTGCCTATTGTCATTTTAAAATTGTTGTCTTGTGTCTTCATGTTGTGGCTGTATAACTATCAGTTTTTCACACTTCTACTTCCAAGAACTGTATGGATTTGTCCTCTGTCACTTTCTTAGATTCTCATGCATGAAGACAATGTTGACATTTACAAGCCAGTTAGCCATTGTCGTGCTCTTTAAATAGCCAACTGGTTAAACTATGAGGGAACAGTCCTTAATGAGATTATATTTCTTATTATATTCCAATACAATATATATCATGAAAGTTTTCAGAAATATAATTCAATATTACCATCAGTTGTCACCTAAGTCATTGTTTGGTTACTGTAAACAGATATTTAGGGAAAATGTAAGGCAATTAAACCCGACAAAAACCACAATAGCAAACAATACAACACAAAAGATTTTCTACAGATCGAAAAAGGTGTAGGCTGGAGTTACGGGTATGTTATGAAAGTATATGTATCACAAGACCAAAACTCACCCAACTGACTGCCATCATTATTTTGCTTATTCTACAGCTACTTTATTGAAAATTGCATGATTCATAAAGGTAAATAGAAAGTTTGTATTTAGCAGTTTATAGCATCATTTCGTTTTTATTAACTGGTTCACATTCGTAACTCTGTAATCTTGGGAGGCATGACTGTCACAAAGCTGCCATGACTAACAATGCATGAGTATATTTTTCATGGTAGTGGAAGAAGATAATCTTTTAAAGATACTACTAAATACATTAAAACCAAATCATTACAAAAATCTGCACACAATCATAAACAAGGAGGAGATACCCAAAAATAAAATACTCAAATATGAATTCATAGACTTGATAGTTTATGCCTTGCATGGTGTTAACATGGTGTGACTGTCACCAGATACTCATGAGGGCGGCTGCAGGGATAGAGATGTTACACTGACAACACCAAGTACATTTTATTAAATGTACAAACCTAGTTCTATTTTAGGGACTGTGCAACAACCCAACTAGAAATAAAATATTTTAATAAACTGTATATGGGAAGTGTATGTATTGGCTAATAATTATTATTATTATTCTTTTCAGATGCAGTGGCTTCAAAACGCAAGTGAACAGTGAACAATGTAAGTCTCCCTCCGTTCCATAATATTACATCTCATTCACAATAAGCTACTAATTAAGATACCTTAATTCTAGCTTGCTAAACAGTGAGTTTGGATTGCTAATGCTTCACAGGCTGGTTAGGTAGTAGTGTAGTAGTGTGTGTGTGTGTCATTAAAGAAATGGTTGTAATGCTTCCAGAAAAAAACAAATTTCAAATCAGCTTTTATGTAAATATGTTTATTTCAGACATGAATATATATATATATATATATATAAATGGACAAACAATGCACAGGCAGTTAGTGCAGACTATGAAGGTGAAGATGTTCACAGATCAGTTAACAAATGCAGGACAGAGAGGCGTAGACAAGAGGACAAAACACACCAGCTGTGTTGTAATTTGATGTCCATAGCACACACCAGATACAGTATGTTGTTAAGTAAGAAGACATAAAGATGTATACATTTTTTTGGAGCATCAACACTTGGGTTTATTTTTATTTATGTAAGATAATGATGTATCCTGATTAATTTTGTTGTTTCAGTGATTGGGCCTGTGTATAAAATAACAGTTGATGGTTTTTTTGTTGTGCATCATATGCCATCACTGTGTGTGTTGCCCTGTACAGTAAAATATTAGTGGAGTGCAAATAATAAATTGTAAGGCCTCATCTCCTGTCACAGAAAAATCAAGTGCCAGAGACCTCATTTAGACATGCGAGGAGCTCATATTAGTCAAGTATATAATATAATCATTCACGACATTTATGGAAAAATAATATTCTCATATTAACAGTACTTATAAATGCAGGACATATGGCAAGATATAAATACATGTACATATATATTTAAGTAAATTCCAGTGGAGCTTTTCTTAGCTCATATCCAGTTATATTTGCTCATCCGTCCGCCTCAGTGAGCAGCCATGATCAGGTCAGTCTGTAGGCCAGGTTTTATGGGGGCTGGTGGGGCTCCGTTGTTGGGCCTGTGGACTCCCCTGAAAGACACAATGTGTGGGTTAAGTTTTAAAAGAGGAATTTATTATTCTGAAAATGAATATACACTCAGTCTCTTCTTTGTAATGCACACCTGTACAATCTAATGGAGTCCAAAACAACAGCTCATACATCTTTTTTTTTTTACAAAGCTCACAATGAACAGTTTTTGGTTAAATTCAAAGGTTGGTTAAAGTGGTGATGTTTTAGACAACATTATTTTGATGTTTCTAATTTTGTGTCCTCCCTATTTTCACACATGAGGGGGGCAGAACATTAGAAACACCTCAGAATATATTTATAGTCCAGTACAACATCATTGTAAAATAAAAGTAAACTTTATGAGAGAGCAATTCTATTGGATTGCATTAGCCTGAACAGCTCTCCTTAATAAAGTGGCCATTGACTGAACATCGTTCACTTGTTTGAGGGAATGAAAATATAACACTTGGACATCACTGAACAGCACTTCCTAAAAGTCTTCAGCACAATAACCTCCCTAATATGAAGAATCATATCAATAGTTATAATAGTTATTCATTATTATAATGTTAATTCAAAAATATACTTAAATTGTATTCATAATGCAATTTTAGATTAATTTAATGAAAATAATAATTAATTAATTATTAATATCAATATTTTGGTCATATGGTAATGGAATATTCACTTAATGTCTTTTAACAGGAGCTTAATAATACCTGAAGGGGGCAGCAGTGCACCTTCAGTCAGTGCAGCCCACACCCAAACTTATGCTTGGAGAGCTGCCGTGGAATTCATCCTATCCACATGTAATACAAGAGACACTGCTCACTATAAATGTATGTTGTGAATGTGACCTGCACCAACTACAGCCTGCTTGTGTGCCACTTCCCTGCAGATTTAAAGATGCTGGTTTCAAAGCTTTCAGCTTGTGACCCCAGAAATGAAACACTGCCAAAGTGAACTCTTGACTACAAATGTTTGTATTTATTCTCCCTTTTCAGGCTGGTAAACCTGATCAAAACAGCACCAGGCAACACTGCATTAGAACTAAAGACGACAACCCTTTTGCTATGAGGTAGGTCAAATTTATTTCCCTGTTTTTTTTTTTTTTTTTTGTATGTTTCCTTTTATGCGTTACAGTGTAAAATAAAATGATTTATAGGATACTTATAAGCAAAATTACAGTCGAATGTACAAAATGTGACTACCCCATTCTCACTAACTCAGAT